CACCTGCGCTCCTTTCCAGAGGCGCCAGCCTTGCGCTCGCCGGTAAGGAGTCAGCGCTCGGACCAACTGCGGCGGCGGGTGGCCCGGGAGCCAGACGGCGCCCGGCCCTTGGCTTCCGCCAACACCGAGAGGAACGGAGAATGAGACCGGGGGGAGGGGACCCTGTCGGGGAGCAGCTCCAGGGGCCGCGTGCGCAGCCCTACGCCTCAAAACCTACCTCGGCGCCTCCGGAAGACCTGGGGACGCCCCCTCTCTTCTCGCCTCAGTGTCCCTCTCTGTGCAGTGGTTTGGATGGGACTTTGTGAACTGTTTTTCCCGCCCGGTTTCTCTTTGGAACAGGTGCCCCCCCCAACTCCCAGGATTTTGCCGGTTCCCGAGCCGCGATCCACTGAGCAAAGCCGTGCACCCTTCGACCCTGGGGTGCAGCTTTTAGGTTCCAAACCCCAGCTCGGGGTCGAAAGGTTGCCGGGACTGAGGGCTTGGGGAACTGTATTCGTTTCCACGGAGTCCGCAGACCTGGAGGAGCAGAGCAGCGGGCGCGGCCGAAGCATCGCCCTGGGCAAGCTGGAGCGAGAACAGCCCTGCGGAGTCGCCACTGCGCTCGCCCGCCCGGGGTTTCTGGCCTAGCGGAAGACCCACGGGGACGCGTCCTGGGGAAAGAGGAGGCTCACAGGGCAAGCCCAAGCTCCGGGCCCTTGGAACTGGGAGGCAGGGCTCCCGAGAGCTCATCGCCCGCTGGGAGACTTTCCAGCGGCCGAAGTCCTCACCCGCCACAGTGGATGGTGCTCTGCGCCCTCGGGGTGGTCCCGGCTCGCAGTTAGGTCCGCACTGGACAGTGGGCTCCGTGGGCTTCTCTGGGGCCCGGATCGAGCGCTGGGTCGGCAACCTGGCCCCACAAGCGGCACCTTGTCCTACGGCTTCTAGGAAAAGAACCTCCTGCTCAGGCTGGGCATTGCCGAGCAGAGATGGACCCCAGGCCCCGGTCCTTAGTTGCGCGCAGGGGTAGCTGGCATCCCCGGCCCAGCGTGGGAATTTAGGGGTGGGCAGGAGG